GGGAAAGATTGCTCTTTGCACTCATTCTTCACCGGTTACGGTAGGACAAGCGGTTCATACGCCATGGTCGTATAAAGAAGACGAAATTTCAGAATATTTAAAACAGTACCTCATTACAACGGCTCTATCTCCAAAAATGCTGGAGATACAGTGGACTTCCTGTGCGCGTTGCAAGCGGGAAGGATTGCTCTTTACACTCAATCTTCACTGGTTACGGTGGCACAGGCGGTTCATACGCTGTGTTCGTATAAAGAAGACGAAATTTTATAATATTTAAAACAGTGCCATATTATAACGGCTGTATCTCCGAAGATACTAGCGATACAAGGGACTTGCGGTCCGCGTTGCAAGCGGGAAAGATTGCACTTTACACTCAGTTTTGACTGGTTACGCTGGCACAAGCGGTTCATACGATATTGTCGTCTAAAAAAGACGAAATTTTAGAATATTTAAAACAATGTTTTTTTAAAACACGTATATCCACGAATTTAAAATATATACGCACGTTCTTTGGAGTTAAGTTCAAGCGGAAAACATCGTTCTTTTTAGGAAAGTGTAAAAATTAAAAATCTGTGACTAAATATAAAGGTTATCTTTGATTTATACGGTTTGTATAATTTCAAGTATTAATGATTATGTCGTTGGAAATGTGTACAAAAAAATTAAATATATAATATTTCTCTATACTCTTTATATACTATATACTATACTTTATATACTCAATAATACTAATATGTATATTAAAAAACGTCCCTGAAATTCATGATTGTTAGATCGAGAAAAAAGTTATTAAAGCATTGTTTTAAAAAATCGATGTATATTAAAAAATCATGACGATAAGTATATAAAAAATGTAAATATATAACAATGTTGATAATTCGGAAACATGAAATTTAATATTTTAACAAATATTATTAGCATTTTACTACGCTTATTATACAATACGAGAATAAGGTCACTAGAAATAATACTACACAGTTTATTATTGTACGTCCGTAGTAAGGTTCCGAATGCGAAACGAAAAGGACGTGTTCCCCTGTGCTCTCGCAGTAAAGATATTATCGCTGTGAATACAAGATTAAAACAAAAATATTCAATAAATTGTGCAGTATAAAAATTAATTGGATATTTTTTAAGTTAGTTGAAAGAATGTTTAAAGGAGAGAAAACAATTTAAACTTCACAAAGTATAGATATAAAACGGTTGTTGTCTTTGAAGATACTGGAGATAGAGGGGACTTCCGGTACGCGTTGCAAGCGCGAAAGATTGCTCTTTACACTCAGTTTTGACTGGTTAGGCTAGCACAAGCGGTTCATACGCTATGGTTGTCTAAAGAAGACGAAATTTGTGAATATTTAGAACAGTGCCTTCTTAAAACGGCTGTATCTCCGAAGATACTAGAGATATAGGGGACTTCCGGTGCCAGTTGGAAGCGCGAAAGATTGGTCCTTACACTCAGTTTTCAATGGTCACGCTATCGCAAGCGGTATGATCGTATGAAGAAGACGAAATTTTAGAATATTTAATAGAATGTTTTTTTAAAACAAGTATATCCACGAAGTTAAAAGAGATACACACGTTTTTTGGAGTTAGTGTGTGCAAGCGGAAAACATCGTTCTTTATAGGAAAGAGTAAAAATTAAAAATCTGTGACTAAATATAATAGTAATCTTTGTTTTATACGGTTTGTATAATTTTAAGTTTTATTGATAAAGTCGTAGAAAATGTGTACAAAAAAATTAAATATATAATATTTCTCTCTGCTCTTTATATATCAATAATATTAAAATGAATATTAAAAAAAGTCCCGGAAAGTCAAGATTGTTCGATCGAGAAAAAAGTAATTAACGCAATGTTTTAAAATGTCGATGTATACTAAAAAATCATGACAATATGAATATAACGAATGTTGATAATGAAGAAAGATGAAAAGTATTATTTTAACAAATGTTATTAGCATTTTACTACGTTTATTTTACAATACGAGAATGAGGTCACCAGAATTAATACTACACCGTTTATTATTTTATACGTCCCTAGTAAGGTTTCGAAAGCGAAACGAAACGGACACGTTTCCCTGTGAATGTTGAAATATTTATGTATTTTGAAATAATTATGTATATATTTCTAATATATAATATGTTGAAATAATTATTATATATTAGATAATAATTATACGCATGACATTATATTTATACAAATAAGGCAGTAATTAAGTATATTATGTAAGAATTACACGAATGACGCAGTTATTCAATGTATTTCATAATTATTGTAAGATGACGGAATAATTAATTACATATATAATTAATAATTATACATAAGACGCAATAGTTGTAGCAATGACAGGATAATTAATTTTATTAGGTATTAATTATATGTATGGCGCAATAGTTATAAGTAACATGCTATAATCTATGATGCA